CCAGGACTGAAAACCGAAAACACGACGAATCTCATTCAACGCCACGAACGCATAAAACTGAAGCGAAATCGGCCGGGCGCGCGATTTAGAGCGTGCCGGCGGCAAGCACGTATACATATAAGCCGAAGGTGCACACACCTGGATTATTGATTATCGTGGCCGTGGAGAGCTTCCTGACGCGGAATACTTCGACTCTGGACAAAGACCTTATAACTCGAATGCAGTTCGTTCGCCCGGCGCGCTCTCTGCCCGCGTTTCGCTGTCTCGTTTTTCTTTCCTTCCGTGTGCAAGCGGAAGAGTTAACTCGCTCAACCCGTCGAGATTATAGTTGGCGCGCGCGAGCACTAAATTTAGCCGCCATTCGCGAAATCTGATTTCTAATCGTCGTCGCTGGACGCAAAAGCGCGAGATTATGCGTTTTGCCGGCGGTTGAAAGAACAATATTATGAAAAGACCAAAATTTACTTTTTAAAATATATGAAATCGGGCCATCTTTATATTTTCGATGTCTTAATAAGACAAATCGCACGATATAATCTCAATTTATCTCAATTTTGTCCAAAAATAGAGTTAAAAGGTTTTCTAATTAGGCCGATATGTAGCTTAAAATATCCTAAATCTAAGGGAACTTAAAAATGCAATTTTTCTATAGAAAAATCTGTTTCCCGGCAATATTGTGAACAAAAGTTCATTTGGGAAATGAATTGATTTCCGATCGTCGTCGCCAGGTGCAAAAGCGAACGCGCGCGAGATTATGCGTTTACCGCGGTGGCTGAAATTTGGTCGTGCGCGCACGTCCCGTGTAAAGCTGATTCCGCGCGATTTGCATCTCTGAATAATGCAGAACTCTTAATTAACGCCGTTTTCTAACAGACGACCGTCCGGAACAAGTGTCTCGCCGGATAAGCCATTCGCCGCGAATTCTCGCGCAATCGCGCAATATCTATTTGGCAACGTGTGTCATGTGCATTCATTCTCGCAGGCTTGTTATTGAAAAAAACAGGAAAGAGAAAAAGGGAGGAGCGCATAGGCAAATGAAAATACGCGCTCCTTTTTTATGTAAACTCAGTCAGTTGCGTATTGTTCAATCTGCGGAAAATACGAGAATTGCGAGATGTTCATGTGCTTTCCGGTGCATCGTTAAAAAAAAAAAAAAACAAGGGAAATGCAAAACTCGCTCATCGGAAGATGAAAATTTTCCCTCGTGCAACCATCGTGATTGAAATCCGAAATTCGAAACGCGTTTCTTTTTCCCAGCTCATCTGCATAGTTCCTTCCTTTTGTTAATCAGTCTCGTCATTCGTCTGTCTCATTATCCGTTTAATACGTCGCGCCGCGGCGTATGATACAGCGCGGCGCATTTTTAATCTATTTATTCGTATTTAACGAAGTGTGCTTCTCGGAACACACTCTCCGCGCTCTCTGCATGAAACACCGCGCAATCGCGCTAATGCTTTTAGGTCGCTCGAGATTAAATTTTTGTTTGAAACTCCACTCTAGCGCCCGTAGCGCGCAGTAGACGACAAAGAGATCTCCATTTTCTCTCTCCTTCTTTCTCTTTCTCTCCTGCACGAACGCACGTTACGTTTCCGGCTTCTATTTGATGAATAGCAGCAAGGATCCCCGATATTATCGATGAAAATGACGAATGTAATCGCAAAAATATATAGCGCGATTTCCAAACGTAATAACTTTAAACGGAGCACACGCAAAACCGCTGAAGCTTGAAAAATATTCGTGCGAAGCTAAATAAACACGGCGTTGCGTTGAAGAGGGGGCTTTAATTTACATTTTGCATGAGTTTATATCCCTCAAAAGAGAGACAAAGAATCGTGAGTACATAAAATATTAATTAAAAGGTCTTTTCTTCTTTTGTTACTGACGCTTCTGCGAATTAGTGAACTGGAAAAAATACGAGGACATCAATGTCACGTGTGTTTCGACACAATGTAATTGTAAAATTCCGAACAGATCGAAGTCACACGAGCGAGAAAAGACCGCAAGTATGTGGAATATTAATTCACAGTATTTTAATTGCACCACATGCGGAATAACGTTCTGAGGAGACGACGATATTTAATTAAGCACATCTCAACATCGTTTTCACACATCGTGATATCATTTTCTAAATTAAATATTAATCTGCCTATAGATATATGTATCAATTTCAAATCTACATTCATCTCAAATTTCTCATCATGCATGATATAATTATCTTAATAACGTGATAATTGCTCGTGTAACGCGCTCTCTCTCCTCGATTATTCGATTAGTGATTAAATTTCGCGATACGAAACTGATACATTGCTAAAACTGGTTTTTCCCGGTTTTTTTCTTTTTTTTCTCGTGTACGGTGTGTCAGCACATCGCGTTTCAACGTGGAAAATGGAAATAATCCGTTTTGTGAGCGCTCGAAACTTGTCGAGTACCATCTTCACTTTGATGTTTGACATAATCTCGCGTTTCATCGCACCAATGGCATTCTTCCATATTTCGAGAGATATTTCAGCAAATAAAGACGTGTTGTTCGCGCGCAATCTTGCGACTCACGGTGACATACGATTTAGGAAATAATTTGGAACGAGATTTTTCTCGTCTATCTTATTTCGATAATAAATGTGGCTGAATCTGTACAAGATATATAAAGGGAGCATCTCCAAACAGCACATACACACACAACACACCCACGCACCCATATCCATACACATACACACATTTGTGCACTAGATTTGTTTTGCTCTAAAGCAAATTTACTTTACGTTGTGTTACGTAACGTTCAAATTGATGTCAGATTTGCCGATGTCGAAATAGACAGCGAATCAATATCAGTACACGGAAAAAACAATTCTGTTGATGCTACCGAATTTTCAGTTGCTCAGAGATCAGACGAAAACTCGGCTGTAGGAACGGAAAAATTCCTTTATGAGGCTTCTCTATAGTCAATTATTCTCAGTTGTCTCAACCGAGTTCTAATATCGTTGAATGTTTAGACGAATATTTTCGACAACAGAAATATTAGTTTTCTTAACAGAGATATCGCTTCGGATCACCTAATTTTCAGTTGTTTCCTATTTGGTTGCATCAACTGAAATTTTTTTTGCGTGTATGATACCAGTTGTCAATAAGTGCGAGTCTAATTTTACCGGAAAATAGGGAGCCTCTTATATGCGGATCGGTGTTTGACAATCGCCGCTTCTCGGGGAAAATTCTCTACACTGAGAAAAAAGCGGTTGAAACATTTTTTGCTTGGACGAAATTCGTTCAAGCAAAGGTTCAGTCGATTGAACGAATTATATTGTTACTGCGAAGCAGCTTATAGTTGTACTAACGCGTAATTTTTTGTTCAATAGATAAAGAATATTCCTTTCAAAGTTTCAAAGATTTCTATTAAAGAATATTTAGGTCAAAGGATATTTCTTTGAAGACAGTTAACTGTCAATTTTGATCCAACTGCATTTTTTCCCTCTATTTATATGAAGATAATATTTAGAAATCATTTATAAATATTATAATTATAATTATAATTATTTATAAAAATAATATAAATAATTACAAATTACTTATAAATCACTTATCAATTGAGAAATTACTTATAAATACTCATAAATTTTTTAGTATTTTAAACGTTATGGATGACATTTTAGACAACGACCCGAGAACGACCGACAGACTGTACGTCTCTGAAAATGTATGAAACTTTAGTAGTAAATTTTTAACGAATTTGTGGGAGAGACGATTCTATCAGAGGGAAACTGACACCGGATCTCGCGGGGAAAGTGTTTCGCAGTGAATATTTGACGCGAAATCCGAAATGGAGAACACAAAAGCGTTGCGTCGCATCGAAAATTATTGTCATAGATCTTGCAATTTTCACGATGTTTATCTCAGACGTGATAAATAACGGAAGTTGTGTCCAAGATACGTATCAGACTGATACAACGAAATATGTAATGTGTGTGCTCCACACACGAGAGGGACGTGCGCATATAGAACCGGACGAAATTACATAATGCGGCTATAAAAGAGGAAAGATGAGTTTACTCTACGACAGTAGATCTTACAGCAGGTGTCCGAACGGCCTCCATTAGTCCGGAAGTAAGCACTTGGACCAACGTAAACTGCGAGTGCGTGAGTGCGTAAATTCGTAGAAAGAGTTCATAATTCACCGGCCACCATGGCATTCTGTTAATTTTGTGCCGACGTAACGGACAAAAGCCTGACACAAGCTTGAAAAGAATTTCTTCCTGTTATCGAGACATTTTACGATTTCAATTTGTGCGTCATCAAATCTTACGATTACATGAAGTGCTTTGTGCGATTTAGTTCACTTTTTTAGAGGGTTGAAGAGTTAAATAGAAAAAAGCTCGTCGACAGGTACCTCGTAACAGCGTGAAAATATATTTTAATTTCGCAGTTTTTTAACGCCCACTGGGACAATGGCGCGAAAATATTGCTTCTATCCTGAGAAAAAAAGGTGGTTGAGATTTCGTTTGAACGAACAAAATTCGCTTGCTTTGTTCGTTTAAGCAAATGTTCAATTCGATTGAACAAATTATTGCGTTCATCGTTGCTGCGATAAGAATTATTAATTTATTCAACGATTACGATTGGTCAGTAACCATAATGACGCAATTTAACAACGCACTAACGCGCAATTTGTTCAAAAGACACAATATTTTTTTGAAGACGGGTGATCTTGTCGACCCAACTGCTTTCTTCTCTCTCTGCACGACGAAGCGATATTTCGAAAGTACAGTTGTATTTTTTCACCGAGTTCTTATTATATAATTATTTGCATTGCACGGTGGATCTTGTTTTTCTCTTGGAGCGAGATGGCACTTTGTAAAAAGTCGTGTTTCTGTTGAACACATATTCTTACATAATTATTTACACTGCAAACACGTGCATAAGGTTGCGTTATAATAACACATGTTATCACAAGGTTACCGAGAGACTGCTGCAAACTATTTATAATTACGTTAACAAGTTTGTAATTCCAGTCAGTCGGAGTTCTTTGCGCGAAAAGGTGAGAAAGTTACTCTCTCACTTAGTTCGCGGCGTCCCGTCGTGATCATTCGAGTCTAGTTCTCGCGTTCGTGTTCTGTGACGACTAGAAGGTGTGATTGCGAGGACTATCGGAGAAACGCGCGAGTTCTGTGAGTCTGAAATTCTATACTATATATTCCTAAATTCTATATTGAATATACAAGATTGTATTATCATTTGAATCTAATTATTCTGTAACGATATTCGCATTATTCTGCCTCTCTAAAACGCTTGAAAAATTCTCGATCATCCACTTATGGTTCTTGGAAAGCGTCTTTAAAATCATTGTGCAGTGTCTGTAACATATTTTGCGTTGACACGCAATACGCATTATAACGTGTGTAGATAATGAAATAATATGAAATTACCGTACATGTTTAGGACGCGGCAAGCATGAAGGGGATAACAACGCTGTTCGCGATATTACTATTGTCCAGCTTCGGGCATGGCGAAAAGTGGTGGCAGTCGATGTCCCTTTACCAGATTTACCCTAGAAGCTTCAAGGATAGCGACGGAGACGGCGTGGGAGATGTCAATGGTATGTTCTAGCAATTACAATCCCTTGGAACTATCGGAATTTCGACGACAATGGTGCGCGGCGCAATTACCGTAAAAATATATCGCTCCGGCCAATACGATAATGATATTCTGAAGGCTAACAATGGCGAACTCGTCAATTTACGGGCTACTTTATCGTTGCGATTATCGGTTTGTTAAAGGCTCGTCTAGATTACGCGGGATAAGCGTAAAAGTTGAAATAAAAAGAATTTATTTTACTCACGGGGCTTCTCTACACTCTAACCTCCTTACACCGGAAATATTTCTCTCACTTAAGAGCAGAGGAGCGCGTAAGCGAAATAAATGATTTTTATTTCTTACTTCAATACTCACACCAAGCTTACTCCGCGTATTGCAGACGAGCTCGCAATAAGTTTACTCTTTCAACTCTTTGTGAGCCATAATAAGATGCGGTCTATTTTTAATGATTTTAACTAACTTATCGGTAAACTTAGTCGATTATATTGTTACTCTTATAAATGTACTAAAGATAAAGAAGTAAAGATAAGTAAGAAATTTAAATCATTAAACAAATTAAAGGCTCTTGACGCGAATCAAAATAAACAATTAATAAGGCAAATAAGAGCCAACAGCCGATTTCAAAAGCGCACTTATCGATTTAATCAAACAAATAGATGTACAATGGCTTATATTTATTTAAATTCAGACGTTTCTGCCCCGTTTTGGACTTTCTTTAGTGAAAAAATACATAAAAACGCAGTTTCATGCACATCTCTTAAAACGAGAAGAAACTGCGTTTTTTATGTATTTTTTTTCACTGAAGAGGGTCCAAAACGGGACCGAAACGTTTGAATTTAAATAAATATAAGCCATTGTACATCTATTGGTTTTATTAAATTGATAAATGCATCTTTGAGATCGTCTTATTTGCTTTATTAATAATTTAAATGTTTCACTATTAAATTATTATAGCAAGTAAAAATAAAAAAATAGAGAAAAAATTTTCTCAGACAAAAATCATTTTAAAGCTAACTATTAGGAATCGACACATTAAGACATTAAGAATTTATTAAGAACAATTAACAGTATTTTATTTATTTTTTTCAAAATTTTCTGTATCTATTTTTTTACAATAAACTGTTAAAATATTGATAATGTTTGCTGCAAGTTTCTTCTAAAAACGTAAATATCTCTTTCATATCGAGGAAATGTCGTCGTTATTTCCAGCAAATGTTAAGAGCGAGTTTGTTAGTTTTAAAAACTTGATGGTCATCATATTGGACCCGCTATTTCAAATTCTAACTTTTTTAGTTATAATTAGCGACCCCGAAACGTCAGATTTAAAGAAGCTTTATCGAGAAATAAAATGTATGGCTCAAAGGATTAATGAGTTTACTCCCTTAGACAAGTCTTTAATGATTGAGACTGATTGAATGGATTGAGACCTTTCGACTTTAATTTCGACAATAAATTTTTCCGTTGTGGGGAGACGTTGATTTTCCTTCGAAGGAATCGAACACGGCAATATCTTTAGACTCGACACGGCACGAAATAGTCCGGCAATTTATCTTCGATTTAAGAGAAACCAGTGAACGTAGAGTCGGGGCCGGGCGACACGGCCCAGCGACCTAATTGATCCCTGGGAGGGTCTGAAACGGTAGAAACGATTCTCAAAGAACGACCTCTCCTAGGTATCGAGAGTAAGCTACCGCACCTGGTCGCGTCGGGCGTCGAAGCCTTCTGGCTCTCTCCTATCTACCCAAGCCCGATGGTTGATTTCGGCTATGACATCTCCGACTTCACCGACGTCGACCCTATATACGGCACCATGGCTGACTTCGAGGCGCTCACGAAGACCGCGCACGAGCACTCCCTCAAAGTCATTATGGATTTCGTGCCTAACCATTCGTCCGACCAGCACGAGTGGTTCCAGAAAAGCTTGCGCGGCATCGAACCCTACACGGATTATTACGTGTGGCATAAAGGCAAGGTGCTAGCCAACGGAACGGTCACGGTACCGAATAATTGGGTAAGAGTCGTCCGTTCCCCGTGGCGACGCGCGAAACGGTCCGAGGAGACTCGTCGTTAAGGTCACCGAATTAATCCGAACCCCTGGAGCGAATCACGCGAGCTGCTACCCGAATTTCAAGTATCCTTTCTCTTTCTCTTTCTCTCTCTCTCTCTCTCTCTCTCTCTCTCTCTCTCTCCCCAGACGACGAAACGCGCGCGATTAAGTCGGCTCTTAATTATTATTAATCCACTATCTCGCGGCTGAGCTCCGAACGTGACGGAGAAATAGCTTTCTGGTTGCTCGACGTCAAGGGATGCGTTTAAGCGGATGGTTGTCGTATCGCGAGCACGAACGCTCGTTCGCTATTGCCGAGAACGAAGCGATTCGCGTTGTGTTATCTCCGAGAATGCACCAGCGATCTTAGTACAGTGCGCGATTCGGATTATACGTCCAAAGAAGACTCATCCGAGAATCTCGGTAGGTAATGAGAGGCGTGAAATGCGATTGCATAAAATTGCAAAGTAATTAATTGTTTCTGAGAAAAAACGTTTGATATTTGTCACTGCCCTGAAAAAACAGAGTGGTTGAGTTAATGAGACTTTGCTCAAAAACTCGTAATAATCGAGCAAATATTTAGTCAATTAAACGAGTGATTAGACACGCAAATTAATGCGGCGCTTTTTCCGAAGAAAGCGAGTCTTTATTTACGAAAAAATAATAAACGTGTCGGTGCTCGAAATATTCATTTCCTGATACTTTTCTCCGTCTATCGGATAAATCTCCTCTCGAAAAAAAGACGGTAGCTTCTCGAGTCGATGGAATCGAGTCGATGCATTTTCGGACCTCTTCCACGCTTTTAAAGTGTATATCAGCTAGGTGGTGTTGCAGCGGTCGAAATAGATGGTAATCCGATTAGATCCGCTGAATAAGCCGCATGAGGGAGAACCTCTCCCCCAAAGAGCAAATCATATTTGCAGTCTCAGCAGCATATTTTCCAATTGGAAAGCAAATGAAATGTTATGTCTGATATACTGCTTGACTGCATCGTGTTCGATGCTGTTTTATGAAGTTATGTTGTCAGTTTCGCCAAGTTATTTTAAGTTTAAAGTTTAATTTTAAACTTTAACCTTCTTTATAGGGCAAGACTCCTAGGATATGACAAATGAGTTTTTTCCTTTGAACTTAAAATAGTCTTTAGAGATATTTTAGTATCATTTTTGAGACAAAAAAAATTGTTGATAAGAGATATCAACCGGTATAACTGTTGTATCAGTGACCATTCAGGGAAAACGTTTAGAACCACTCTACTAGTGTTCTAAAGAGTTAAGGTTCGCACTCCAAAACCTACTAAATAACGGGAACATATTTGAATGTTGAACGAAGTTATGATTGCTTAAATGTAAAAGAATTAGTTTACGCATCTAATACATAGTTGTTGTGTGATGAGAATCATCGAGTGATTCGATGATTTGGCCGGCTATATATACACGCAACTTATCGCTGCATTAACACACTAATTTCAATAGATACGATGTTTCTTTGAAGGCAGTTGATTTTGTCAGTCTAACTGCTTCTTTTTCTCAGTATGTAATCGCGTAGAAAAATAATTTTCACACGGATAAAACAACTCCATCAGTGTAACTGAATTTTCTTTACTCGTAGGACTAAATGAGTCTTACTTGTACGAGCAGAACAATTCCTGTAGGATGTTTCTGCTCATCGGTCAATTACTCTCAGTTATCTCGAGCGGGTCTTAACGCTACTGAATGCTCAGACGAATGTTTCCTGTCATAGTAACGGAGATATCATTTTTCGCTAGCGAGTTTCTCGTCCCGATTCAATTATCCGAACTGAATTTTTTCCTGTGTATAAACTTTGATCGAGAAATCATTTTTTTAATTAAATTCTACTGTATTAATAATCCTGTATGCATATTGCTACTGCCATTTCGCTAAAAAATATAGTTTGGGGCCAAAAATGACTATAATTTTAGTCAGATCAAACACTTTTTTCTCTCAGTATACATGATGGATCGCTTTGAGGCATCTTTCGATAAGCATCGACAGCGACGATTTAGAGAGAAATTGAACTGAACCTAACCAAATCGAGCACGAGCGCCTTCAGTAACGATGAAATTCTCGTTGGCCGATCGATCAGCCGAGAAGCCCCGCGAGAAAAAAGAGAAAAAAAAGAACTCGTCCCGTTAAGTCGAACGGATCTGTTCCTTCTTATATTCGTCGAGCGGATATATTACGCCTTTAATATCTGAAAAATGTACTCCGTTGTATTGCTTGGCGCTAGTTGAATGACGATCCGTCACCGCGTGGCTGCAACAAGCCCACGTGGCTCGCAATATTTTGCCGGCTTCGAAATTCCCTGTCACGTAGACAACACGTAGCAACACTTACGGATTAACGCGCGCCTTTCGTTCGTCGCGGAATGCGAAATAACGAAACACATACGACGAAACGGGAGATGCAGCGTCGACATCCCAAGCCCGTTGCAAAAGCGCTCCGTCGCGACCTCGCAATATTTCTTCGTAACAGTAAGCGGCTCCAACGCGCTTCCAAACGTCTGTAGGTGTGCTAAGCTCCAAAGGCATAAGCCGGATAATCGAAATGACGAGATGATTATTCCCGTGCACAGGTGAGCGTGTTCGGCGGACCGGCTTGGACCTGGCACGAGGCGAGACAAGCGTATTATTTTCATCAGTTCGCACCGCAGCAACCCGACCTCAACTTCAACAACGAGGAGGTGGTGACCGCGATGCAGGTACGTCACCAATGTTCATGAAACGGCCGCGATTAGATTCGCCCGCCATCGAATTGGACAGTCTCCAGCTTGGTCGGAACTTCTCAGTGCGACGAACGCGATTCCGCGTCCGCATCGGGAAGACTTTAAGACTTTGAGACTTTAACTCCGGACTACTAATATCTTTCTTCAATGCTAATATTCGCCCTTTTGCCGGGCATTCTTCAGTTATTCGGTCTCAAGAAGCTTTCTGTTGAACAGCAAGGGATTAATAAGAGGGAAAGGAATAGTGAGTAAAACTGCTAGGGGAATTAATAAGAAAATATAAAATATGTGCAATCGCAAATCCGCATAAATGAGGCGATTTTAACGGAAGGGATAGTTTCTGCAACATATTCATCGAGAAGGTGGATATTAGTAGTCTAGGGTTAACAAACGGATTGAGAGAAATTATCCAGTAAAAAATTAGCAAATTAATAACATTAATAACTCTGGACACTCTGATTACTCTGGAAGACATTAAAACTCAGATCTTCCTGTCAGTGCGGTAGGTGACTAGGTAAGTCTCATGCAATTATCCGTCTGACCATTTGCCCGCGATACGAATTCATGAATTGTCGGATCGCGTGACTTAAATTTAACCCTTTCGCTACTAATTTTCTTTTTTAAGGGTACAACTTTTTTTTACTTTTACTTCACTAGATATATTAATATAATGTAGTTCTAGCAAAAATTTTTTTAAATTTAATATTTGGTGTCAAAAGTGTAGGGTCGGGATGTCTCATTGGGGTTTTTGGGAGAACATATTTGTCCTAATGGTAATAATTAAATCACCCAATGGTGATACATTAAAAAATTGGCCTTGCAGTAATTGTCTAGATACAACAAATTAGCTAAAGTGAATAAATGTCTGCCAAAAACCACGCATATGTTATATCGCAATATGATGTATCGTATATGTATTGTATTTGATCAATATAGATGACAGAGAGATAGAATTTTTCTATCTGAACGATTTGAGAAATTTAACAAGAGAACCTCTCTATAGTGTCCATTCAAATTAAAACCAATCATATTTTTCACAAAAGTGATTGTTGTCATTTATAAAAGTGACAAAAAAGACTAACGACGACAGACAAACAAATATATGACTTTCACCTAAATTTGCTAACAGGCACTGTTAGAACATTCACAGCTGCTGCTGTAAATTCTACGCGCCACAGGTAATTTCCTATACAGAAACAAAAAACAGTGATATATTTTAACTGCGACATTTAAAATTCCTGGGCCAGCATAACAATTTTTTCAGCTCAGAGTGATGTATTCTGAATGTCAAAGCAGCTGTTTATTCAATGTAGTTTCATAATCATTAGTTATCATTAATGGCGGCGAAAACATATGCCCCGTTGGAAGAGTTAAGGCTCTCGCGGCCGCATATGGAAAAGAAAGAAAAGTCGTAATTAAACGTCCGTCCAATCTCGATCGAAGGCGCGATATCGGATTATCTTGTTATCTCATTGCCCTCGGATAACCGTGGCGAAGCAGAGACGACGGGATTACACTGTCGTTCGGTGTGTCACACGAGGATGAGAAGAAATCCCGCCGTTGGTGCACATCGCGCGTAACGGCGCCGAGTTTTCCCACTGCCGGCGGATTTTTCTATCTTCCGTGGCAACGCGCAGCGAAAGGAAACGTTTCCCCTTTTTTTCTCTCCTTTTCCGCGCGCTCCCAGATAGCAATTCACTCGTGAAAATAATTCGAGTGGCGGGAAGGATTGCGCGCGCGATTGAAAACGATCGACGTCGCGCAACGCCACGTCCGTCGATGGTAATTAACTCACTGCGATGAATCAACGGCCGCTGAAACAAAATGACGGGGGCAAGTGTTTTCGCGTCCTCAGCGCGATCGCGCCGTCCCGTTTGAAGCGGATGCAATTAGTCCGTCGCGCGCCGCGGCGAGCATGAAACTACGTCCGCAGCATCATCAGCGCGCGGACGCGTAATTTGCCAATCTCTTTCAGAGGGACGTTCCGCGGCATCGTCGTGCGTGTGCGCTCACATCGACGAGTCGGCGGGAAGTGCGATGATCGGTAATGATCGTCGCGGATCGCGCGCGATAACGACTGTCCAGCGGGCGTGAAGCGAGATAATTACGATCAATTTAGCAAGCAGAAGTTCGCCCACCCGGAATAACGACTCTCAAATAAATGATTCACCGCTTAAATCAAGCTTCTCATGCTGTCCTCGCGTGGAAGATTGAGGGGATGACCGCGTGCTTGAAGACTACCGACAAAACACCGACTTTTTCCTACAAATTTTACTGCTTAGACAGAATTACAAGTGTTTTCAAACACTGAAAATGCGTGCAATGATGGATTGCAGCGTTGCTCAATACGTGGGAGAAACGATGAAAAACTTTTGAATCGATATTTCGAGCTGTCAGCTGGTGTAAATATTCACAAAAGTTCTGCGGAGAGCTCGTACGTATTGTCTTTCTGCAAACTTTTCAGATATTTTTAAGCTTCTGGATTCAGATGCGAAGATACAGCAATGTTCTTTAAACATTTTTTTACAGCATTCACACTTTCGGTATGTACGAGTTGTGGAACTTTTGAATTAGGCAAATATTAACCTGACCTTTTTATATTATAAATTTTAGAGATTTTACATTATAAATTTCTTTTCTCGTTTTCGCCACATATTGAACAGTGCTCCCATTTATTTTTGCACGTACTCTTATTGCGTAAAAGCATTTATAATTCTGTACAACTAATGCGACGTAAATTTTGCAGAAAAATATCAGTATTCTATCCGTAAAGTTTTCAGCACCTTAAATAACATAATTTCATGTTTTCTTTTTCTTACACTGCGAGAGACTGGTCGTTGCGCGAAGATCTCGCGGGAATTTATATTCCGCAATCAAGTCCCAGCGCGCGCGCGCGCACGAGTAGTAATTCGAGAAACAGCGAAATGGCGGAATATTCGGTCGTAATATCTAAAGTTGCAAAGTACGGCCGTGCACGCGATAAAATCCGAAATTGGACGAACTATCGTGTGAGCGAATGGCGCTTCGCAACGTCGCGTGATGGCAATCCGCGGGCGTTTTTGCGCTGGCCTGAAAAACTTCGCGAAACTCCAGGTCGCAGGAGATGCGCACGGAACGTTTCATTGCCGTGCCTCTTGTTCCGTGATTACGAACGCGACTCGCCGGTTCTCTTTTCATTTACGGTACGTAATCAAATTTCCAGATCAAACTGTACCTCACAACAGAGACGTCGTCGAGCTTTTATGCGATTCCTCTTCACACCCGCGGGATTGTTCCACGACGGTGATGTGCTTCTTCTTATCGCGGCTTCAATACCCTTAAATTCCTTATATCGCGGAATTCTCCCAGAACGTGCTATATTCATGACATAAAAGTCGGATGAGAGGGAAGTACGGCACGGTGTTCTCTCTGTCTGCACGCATTCAGTATTATCGAATGTCGATTCAAATCAAAATCAATTTTCAAATTTAATTTCGCATTATTCGCATTAACTGTCTGTCTGGCTCAAATGCCGAGAGAATCGTCTCCTGCTGACATTTCATTATACCAGATGAGGCAAACGAGGTAAAGAAACAAGCCTTTCTAATGTTAATTGAAACACAGAGAAAAATATCGCTCTGCTGCTAAAAAAAAGTGATTATTCGGTTGACTTTCCTCCTTTAAAGTAATGGCTATCTCGAACAAAGAATATATTTTCTTGATGACAGTCTTGGAAATATACTCATTGTAAATTGTGGAAAAGCTCATAATTATGTGCTAAAAAAAAAAAGTAATTCTTTTTAGAACATTGAGAGAAATTATTCGATAAGAAATTAACAAACGGATATTTCCGATCAAAGTACCGGTCAATTTTTGTATCCGATCCATCCGATGAGAAATATCGGTTCATAATTATTTGATCGATTTATCTGATGAAATGCCATTATGATCGGAAGTATCCAATTTAACCGGATATTCTGATTGGATATAAAAATTGATCGGTATTTTGATCGGAAATATCCGTTTGTTAATTTTTTATCAAATAATTTCTCTCAGTGAGAAATATTATAATACAAAAGTGTATCAGGGAAAAAGTGAATTCAACTTTGCGCAGCAAGCAGCGGAATTGTCCTTTTAATTGGATACTTTTGGATATTTAATATCTAATTTAAAATCATTTTGGATATTTAATATTAATTGGATATTTAATTGGATCGAAATGTTACGCGTTTACTGGAATTCAGAGTGCATTTTCAACAAATTTGATGTTCATGATGAGCTTATGATGAGCTTATGATGAGCTCATGATGAGCTTATAGAATCACAAGTAACTTGTGAATAACTTGAAACAAGCAACATTTCCGTGCGTATAAAACAAACGAAATCGAGTTTCACTAATAACGAAGTCCCCCTCTCATTCTTTCTCAGCTATCTCGCGCGACTTCAATTTCGCATCGTGTATCGCAAAAATGGTAATTGAATTTACACAAAACCGAGATCTCTTCATGCTTTGAGCGCGAGCCATTGTTCCCAGCGAGCGGCTTTGTCGCGGCGGCACGTGGCATAGCGATTTAATCCCGCTCGGAACGAGGCTTTAGCTGAGGCATACACAACTCGCTCTGTTTCTGCTGTCCCCAGGACGTCGTGAGATTCTGGCTCGACAAGGGGGTGGACGGCTTTCGAGTGGACGCGGTGCCGCATTTGTGCGAGCACCCGGACTTCCCGGACGAGCCGCTCACGGGCAACCCAAACCCCAACGATTATGGCTACACGGAGAAAATCTACACCAAGGATCAGCCGCGCACCTACGAGATGGTGCGAGGCTGGCGCGCGGTGCTGGATGAATACTCGGGCGACAGGGTCATGATGATCGAGGCGTACGCGAACATGACGATGACGATGAAGTATTACCAGTACGGCGCGCACTTCCCCTTCAACTTCGGCTTGGTCACCGACACGAATCGGGACTCGACCGCAACCGACTTCAAAACACTGATCGATAGGTGGATGCAGAATATGCCCGCGGGCGCAACCGCTAACTGGGTGGTAAGTCTAGCGAGAGGAACGAGTCTGGTGGGGTCGCCCGCGGCTGTGTGTCGGCCTGATTAGGCTCCGCGACACTTTCCAGCTAATCGAGATCCTAATCGTTCATCAGCGCGAAAGAAGGGCGCGACATCTCGAATCGGCCCGTGTTTCCTCGTAGTCGGCTCGCCGACGATTATCGCCCATCGACGGGCTCGCCAGCTTTAAACGAGGATGGAGCCCGAAATGGAAACGAGGCTAGAATCGTAAATCATGCTGGTGATAAACGGCATTTCTCGCGCGTAACGTGTATTTTCTCAGCCCCGTTTACGGCGGATTTTTATTTCTCGCTGCACGTAGCCTCGTTTACATTTCGGCACTCCGAATGAAGGCGACGTTTCGCGGTCTATTTTCGAGCAACTGTGTTGTGCGAGACGAATGTCCATCTCGACTTTTACTTTTATACCTAACACGTTTATATCGATTTATTTTGGAGGAACTCCCTCCACAGGTCACATTATTGGTTTTCATATAATTGTATGAACAGTCTTGGTTTGTTTATATGAGGATATACGAAAAAAATATCGTGTGGTACACATATGTAACGCTATAATAAGCATGTTAAACGTTGGTTTGATCCGTAAATTCTTTTTAAACAAAATCCGTAAATATTTTTAAACAAAATATATTTTATTGTTGTTGAGAACAACTCAAATCAATAATATACGCGCCATGCTGTTCGACGATTTTTTTTCTTATCTTTTACGTAATTTCATAATTCCCTTCTTCTACAACTTTTATACTTTGCCGGCGAAAAAACGTTCCAAGTGATTCTTTACATCTTCTAAAAGAATCAAGTTTATGGGAACTTAAGGGAGTTCTATAATGAGCAAAACAGACGATAATTGGAGGGGGCAATGCGGGGTAAATATGATGGGTGAGGCAAAACATCCCTGCCAAACTCTAACAATGTTTACGGAAGTAAAAAAGCATAATGCAGCGAAAAAACTCGCCACTGTTTTCCATTTTCAAGCTACAACAAACAAACTGTGCTTCTTTAAGGATCTGCAGGAGTCATAGCGGAAATCTTTCGCGGAGAGCCGCGTAATAGGCATCGCTCGGCGACCCACTTTTTCTACTTAGTTTTTAATTATTTTAATGAATTTCTTGATGTTAAGTACCGGTATTTTATTTTCATAAAGTCCTTATAATATGTAAACAAATATAAAAAAAAAACAGACAACCGTAAATTTTTTTGCATAATTACTACAAATAAACAAGTAATTAAAATTTGTTTTTTATAAAAAAATTCATTTTCTAAACTATTGTCAATATTGAAACGGCAATTTAGGCACTTATCTAAGACACCCTAAAGTATTTTGTCAGAATTTTTCGCTACGTTGTTTCTTATTATAAATTAATAATTTTTGAAAAATATGAAAAAAATCACTATTTTCTACTGTATGGATCAACCTAGTAAAATTAAACATATTAAATAAGATGAACTAAATTTGAAAGTCATCGATGCGTCACACATATGTGACGCCGAACACGTTAACGATCTCGTCGATGTAACTTTGCGTAGCTGCCGCGATATTTACCGGATATTTACCGCCAAGTACCGATAAGTACCGAATCATTTTGCAGGCCGGCAATCACGATAAGTCCAGATTAGTGAGCCGTTACGGAGAGCAACGAGCACAAGCCGTGACTATGATGACCCTGCTGCTACCGGGCGTGGGTGTGACTTACAACGGCGAGGAGATTGGCATGGAGGATACGTGGATCTCATGGGAAGACACCAAAGACCCGCAAGGTTGCAACGCTGGCAAAGATCATTACCAGACAGCTTCCCGGGATCCTGTGAGGACACCGTTCCAATGGGACGACACCACCTCGGCTGGTAGGTCGCCGAAACAACTTCTAGAATCGTCGCGTTGCCTCTTTCCAGCGAACTCGGGCGAAACATAAATCGAGCTGGTGGTCGCTCATAGGAACCGATTGCGAAAATTCCCGGAGTTCATTCACGGCACTGAGGCAACTCGACGGTTCGACTTCCGCCAACGAGAACGGAGAATAATTAAAATGTCGACCGTTTTCTGGAAACGACGTCGTGTCGTTCGGCAAATAATATTGCGCACTATTATCAGCCGCGGAACGCACTTTGAAACCGACGAAACTGGATGTTGCTTGAAAACGATCATGACATTCGCGAATAAATTTCAAGTATTTCCTTCGCCGAGGACTGATTAATCTGTCGATAAATAGCGACAAACCCCATTAAATAACCAGTCATGATAGAAACCGGTTCGCGCCAGACGAAATGTGCCGCCTGAACGTCAGTCTGTCTCGTGTCACGAGCCGCGTGTTAAGAATCAACGTGACGTGTCGGCCGGGTCGCGTGTCAGATTTTGAGATTTCGGGAAGAAAGCGGGTGACAAAAAAAAATGGACAACCGGAAAACAGGTTGCTTGTCGTTCGTGTTGCAATGCCATCACCTGCCAATTTGGATTTGTCACTTGTAGCCTTTACAAAAGAAAAAGAAAGAAGGAAAAAAAGAAAGTTTCACCAAAGCGCTTGCGAAATCGTTCTACCATACGCGTAGTATGTGTTAATATTGTAAGTGGGATTTAACGCCACAAAGTTCTGCTGAAAGACCTGTTGAAAGACACGTGAGATATACTTGTTCCATGATTTTTAGGATTCTCCACGAACCCGAAAACGTGGCTGCCAGTCAACGAGAATTATAAGACCGTCAATTTGGCCATAGAAAATGAACGCAACAACTCCCAATACGCTCTATACCAGGCGGTTTCTGCTCTACGAAAGTGGCCGGCAATAAAACAAGGAAACTTGACTACCAAATTATTGCAGGACGATGTGTTTGGTTTCGCTAGGTAAAGACGTCGTGAAGTATAAACGGGTACAGTGCATAGACGGGATGAAGAGAGAGAGAGAGAGAAGCGCGCTTATCTTTCGATAATCACGCGTCTTAAAAAAGTGCGAAAATATATTTATCGGAAATATATATTTATATAAATATATTTATATGTAAAATAATAAATATATATTTAATATACATAATATATATAATATACATTATATATATATATATATATATATATATATATATATTTAATATATATATATATTTAATATACATAATATACATTATATATATTTATATATATATATTAAAATTATATATATTCAATGTATTAAAATAGGCGTTAAGCGCGATGTCGAGGTCAAAAGTAGAATGAAAATCTCGACCCGGATAAGAACAAAGTACGTATTTCTTATTACAGGGAAGTGGCCGGAGAGAGGTCGATTTATGTAGTCATAAACTTCGCGGATCAGGAGCAAAATGTTGACTTATCGGCGCTCGTCGACTCATCCAAGCGATTGAAAGTTTATTATGCCACTACGAATGCTCATTCCCTCATTGGGTAAGTTCACGTCTCCTTGCGCGCATGCACACTCACGCTACTGCATGCGACATGTGCGCATGTGTATGTGTACGCGTGTATGTGTGTGTTTGTCGGAGAGGCACGTGTGATTTCATACTTGGCCGTTCTCATGAAATGTTTAGGAACCCCGTGGACGACGTTCGCGCTTCGCAGATCCCTGCATCAGCGGCCGTGATATACGCCAGCGAGGAGTAAAGCTACGGGCGGCAATCTACGGAAACGAGTATCCGAATGAGGCATCATGTTCACCACGTAATTCCCATAGTTCCCTCAAGACGAAGAGCGGCGAGCCGTTCCGGGATTTTGCCTTACCGCTTTTGTATCTGCGCGTTATGCTGCAGTCATTTTATTTATTAATTTCCAGCGAGTGCGCGTATCCGGTTATAACCGGACCCGCAGTCTGCTAGTTGAGTCTCTTCGCGCTACTCTAGCAGATCGGAGCGAATCTAATCTAAGTGGAGATCTAATCTAAACGAGGCTTAGATTAAATGATACATTATAGCCACTAACAGATTATGTTACATCATTAAAAGGCAATTTCGCACTCTCACGTCGAGCTTACTTTGTTTCGTCCCCGAGCTCCCGTAAACGCACTCGACGCATTGCCGGCGCGAAAATCACTCCCAGACTATAATATCGATCAAGGTTGATCCTTCCTACGCTGAGTACTCTAAAGGGCGTAAATCGAGAATTTAATCTCCCCGTTCCACTTCCTTCCACATTCACCGATATCCGACAGCTGAATTATATTAGCTATGCCCGTTCACACAATACGGGCTCTTAGCGCGATATAACGTCCCGCGGATCTGGCCATCATATCACCGGAGAAGATTCCATAAATTTCTCGCAATAAGATCTGCCGCTTTTCAACCCCGTCGTTTGAAAGCGACGATCGATCGCGACGTCGCGGCACTAAATAATTGATAGAACCCTTGCTACACAAAACCGCGATATTAATGTGGTATTTGTCAAACAAATTTCGGCTATATTGGCAATATTTATAAAATTCATTAAAATAAATTCGATAAAATCCATTGGGAATGGATGGTTTGTAGATCCTTACAGATCCTCGTCGTAATTGAATTTATCGGCCCACTTGAGTCTTTACTCTTGATGTCACGATGAAAGTTACGTAAATTATGCTCGTTGACACATGAGTCAATTGCATCCTTACATTATTAAGCAAAATCACGATATCAATGTGATATCGCATAAATCATTATCACATAAATATCGATTATATACAGTATTTATACAATTTGTTAAAATAAATTTTTGTCGGAAGAAGATGGCTCGTAGATCCTCGTCGTAATTGAATTTATCGGCCCACCTGAGTCTTTACTCTTGATGTCACGATGAGAGTTACGTAAATTATACTCGGCCGTTGACACACGGGTCAATTGCGTTCTTACACTATTACTTGAGCAAACTTGGCGCTCGAGATTTCTAAGTAAACGTACCTCATCCGAGTCACATACGCGCGAATCAATCCAATCTGTAGAATCGGATGTAGTACGAGCATCTCCAGCTTGAACCCGAGAATTTCAGCTGTTACATACGTGACACTCGCTGCGACCGTGACTGATCTGCATCCGCGTGCGCTTTGTAAACCCGACCTGCGCCAACCGAAACGTAGACTCGCGGTATCCAACGGTAATCGTCGCAAATAGAAACTAGCTTGAAGAGCACTCGTCGCATGACGCATTTGGGAATCCGAACTTCAGTCTGCGGATATCCACGTATCCGAATTGCGTGGATGACCGGCGACGAATAGCCTTGGATCTTCCCCTCGAATTGTCCCGCGATATTCGGAATTCGGCGCATTCATTAATAACGAAGCATTCTCGCGTGCATTACGCTCATCGTTACCGTCCGCCGCTCTCTTGGTCTCTCACCCTCGTTATACGAACAATAGAACGTGTGACATTGTGCTTCGACGTTGTTGATTGAGTTATAATAGTTGTGTGTATACGTGCGTGTCCGCAAGAGTGTGCGCACGCAGAGTATTTCCATAAATTTTGATAACAGAAATGACGATGCCGCTTTTGTTAAGCGTCCCTTTACATCATTTATTGACGACGTGCCCGTTCCCAGCAATTGTGTTAAATGTGAGAAAGCCAGTTGTATATACATGTACATACTTCCTGTCTGCTTCCGTTCCAACAAAGCGATCAACAACGAGCAGCACTCTGGCGAGTATTCACGAATTTCGCGTGCCCTGCCTCGAACTTTCTTTGTCTTCTGCTCCAGGTAGACAGAAACTTCGGGGTCTCTCGAGTAGAAACGGATTACAACGGTCGCAATTATTCAATGAAAAATCAAAATTTAACCGCGGAAAGAAAGAATATGGAAAGTTCTGCCGTTCTGAATGGAAGGCGAAATTTACGACAACGATCTACAAACCATCTTTTCCCGATAAAAATTTATTTTAACGAATTGTATAAATGCTGCCAATGCAATCGATATTTGTGTGATAAACGCCATATTAATATCGTGATTTTGATAATACACTAAGAGAAATTATCATATAAAAAATTAACAAACGAATATTTCCGATCAAACTAAATAAATTCCGATAAATTTTTCTATCCAATCAGGAAACATACAATGAGAAATATAATAATTTTTTGACCGGTTTATCTGAAATGTTATTATAATCAGAAGTATCCGATAAAATTTAATCGGATATCCTAATTGGATATAAAAATTGATCGAAAATATTCATTGATCAATTCATTAATTTTTTATTGGATAATTTCTTTCTTTTTTGTCCTTACATGTAATGTAAGAATGCAATTATCTCGTGTATTAACGACTCAGTATAACTTTCTTCGTTTCTTCGTTACATGAAAAGTAAAGGCTCAAATGGATCAATAAATTCAATTACGACATTGCAAATTTTATAGATGTAAAATTTAATGAGGCGCTACAGGATTTCTCTTTATAGTGCCCATCCAATTACACTTCTTTTAAAAATTGTCTGTGGTAGACAAGACCAGAAACAAACGAATCTCTTGTTCTCACATCCACATAAATTCAATCACGACATTGCAAATTTTACAGATGTAAAATTTAGTGAGGCACTACAGAGTTTCTCTCTGTAGTGCCCATCCAGTTATACTTCTTTAAAAAATTATGGTAGACAAGAAAGATCAGAAACAAACGAATGTCTTATTCTCATATCCACATAAATTTGTTTGCAGATATTGCTAGAATGCTGCTGCTGCAAATTCTACGTATCACAGACAATTTTCTAGCGGATATAAGAGAACAGCAAATAACTTTTAACTGAGACATTCTATCTGGACCAAACAACTGTTTTGAGTGAAGAGCCTTATCATACCTATGCTACTGTTTTCCCCTTATCTACCTCTGCTCGTTTATCTAGCCTTCTGTAAAAACGTCGTTTCCTAGAATAAAAAGAAAAAAAACGAAAAAGTTCATATATCGTGTTATCTACGTGCAGTATTACGAAATGGATGATCAGCCGTTGATAATATTTCCTATAAAGCTTATGACGCAATTATTTGTAAACGCGACGTGATTTATGATTTTCACGGTGAACAAAACGAAAAATACTCTATACCGTTCCCCTCCTGCGGCATAATTTTGCCCGAAATATCGCGGTTTTAAGCATTTCAGTCAACGAATATTATTTTCACACTCGCGAAACATCGAATGGAACGCATTTCAGAGCGAAATACGTTTTTCTTTTCAATGCAGGATTACATGAAAAATGATGGTGAGCTACGTAAACACCTTTTCACTGTACATTTGCAAACGGTAAACACGAGATTCTACGGTAATGCTTCTTCTCGTCGCACGCTTTCGTTAATCGCGTATCTCTCTGGAACCTGTTGCAGAATGTAGTCGCGTTACATCCTCGCGACATCATTTTAATCAATAAGTGCGGATGTCACTCGTGCGCGCTCGCGCAACGATGAGACGACACTTGTCGAGCGACGGTTCAACTATTTTCAATAATTATTTTCCAGAAGCTCTCTCATTTTATACGAGTTACTTTGTATCACTTTACACGGTATCATGCGAGGAACTTTCCTCGTCTAATTAGAATTTGCTTCTCTTCGAAATATTCATAGAGCTTACATTAAAAAGAGGATTTTCTTGTCGAAACGAAAGAGGATTTTCTTGTCGAATTTAGCACACCGAATCGAAATTTAGTTGAAATGGGATTAACTAAATATTCGGGGGCCGTAACAAAAATATTTAATGATCGCTGTCTGTGTTTCCTGAGTCGAAATTGTAATTCTACTTTTGAGCCTATTTTATTCAACACCTACTTTGATACTTTAACCTACATCAATCTCTCTTGATTCTGTTTAACTTACCCGAATACGAATTGAAATTCTGACCTTACTTTCAGCTTCACTAATTCATTCAACATCTATTTTGATATTCTGAAGCCTATAATTTCATTCAACACTTATTTTGACGCTAAAGAAAGTGCAAAAGGAAATTTCATTAAAGTCAACATTACCAGAGTAGGAGTAAGTTGTATCATTAGAATTAAACCTACTTTGCTAGCTCCGTCCTTACAGCGTTGTAGAATTCAAGGATTAACATAGGGTCAGAATTTCGACTCGGGTTTTGCTTTCTGAATAATATATGTACTTGACACGAGTGGAAACAAGCGAGCCGTACATACGAAATATTTTAGTTCCAAAAACAGAAATAATCTTTTCAGCGTACGAATAAATTATTTCTCTCGTGTGACTATTTCACGCGCCAAATTACGAAAGTAATCTTGCCGCTCGCAGCTGTAATCTGTGGAAATGTACGTCCCAGCTTCTGAAAATCTAGATATCGCGATGGATATCTGCCCACGACCACTTATGCGTCACTAATCTTTTTACAAGCACGAAAAGTAAACATACACGCGTGCGCAATGCCACGAACGGGAAATTCTCGAATGACGTGCGCGGAGGAATATTTCCAGGAGCGCACTTCATACTCTCGCGATGCATTTCGTCCGCGCAATTAGAGCGTCATCAGGTAGGTCAATAATTACACGCCTCGGCTCGAGCTTTTCTTCCAGGAAAAATCGCTCCTGCCTTAATTAAAGGGCGGCATCCATTAATTTTCGATAAACGAATCTGGTGATTCAATCCGTAATTAAATTTTCTTGTAAGAAAAATGTGATAAGAAAGAATCGATCCCTCCGCGTGTAGCCAAGTATAATAAGGTTGACGCGCTGCTATCGCGCACTAAATGAAAATTTTATTCGCAATATCGCTGAGCCGCGAACACAAGGCCTGAAATATATATTGGAAAAAGAGAGAGTTAATAAGGTGGACATCATTATCGAGTCGTATCGTGTTAACGTATCAAGTTCAAAAACGTGCTTTCCCGAGCGCTAAGAGAAATATTCGGCCAGGCAGAATTCTAAATGCTGCAGTTAAATTTTATCGCTGTCTTTTGTAATTGCTACACTGAGAGAAATTATCCGACAAGAAATTAACAAACGGATATTTCTGATCAAGATACCGATTAATTTTTGTATCCGACCAGGAAACATCCAGAAAAATATCGGTTCATAATTTTTGATCGGTTTATTTGATAAAATGCTATTATGATCGGAAATATTCGATTAAATTTAATCAGATATCCTGATCGAATATAAAAATTCATCGGAATTTGATCAAAAATATCCGTTTGTTAATTTTTTTATCGGATAAAAAATTTTTATAATTAAATATTTTTATAAATAATAAAAATTTTTTATCATTTCCGCTACGATTGCAAGAGTGTTTTTTATTTCTTGAAGCGAACGTTCAAGAACTTTTTTCTTCTTTCTTTTACACTCGTGTGCTCTTTTCGCGAGTGGATTGTCAGAAGCGACGAAAATCCGGGTCCGGATGATTACTATTACCGCCCAGCTCGCGTTTTACCCGCCCGCCTTCGGGAAAGTCACGCATTTGCGGGATCTCATCCGCTGGAAACAACGGGCTGTCATCCACGTAACTGTTTCACCCCCCGAGCCCGACACCACCGCGCTCTCCTATGAACGATCCTCTGACGCGTTGTCACGAGCATGCGAGATTTTTTTAGCACGCTCGATAAGACGCTCGTCCTCCCCGAGCGTCTTCTTCCTTCTGCCGCGTCGTCGACATATAAACAGCGACGACGGGAACGCGCGCGATACAATCGCGAAGATGCTCGTCCGCGTCGTCGTCCTCAGCCTGCTGCTGACGATCGCCCTGACCTCGGGAGAGATTCTCAACCAGGGATGGTGGAGCCATACGGTTTTCTATCAAGTTTACCCTCGCAGTTTTATGGACGCCAACGATGACGGCGTGGGTGATCTCAAAGGTAAGGGAAAGCGAGGCGCGTCAAGACTCCACGTTGGACGTGTCTCTTTCTTCTTTTTCCTCTCTTATGATTGCGTCTCGCCTTCCACTGTATAATGACTCTGACGATAAGCATCGACGAAGATGACGCTGTGACGAGCCTACTCGCCGTAATTGCGCACCGTTCGGGAAGACGGGATGATTTCGTAACGGGGACGTAGCCTCGATTGTCGCGCGACAACGATTTCACGGCATCGTATTCAGACTTTGTCCGCGACAGTGTTGCGCTCTTTATGCGCCATGCAATCGAGGAGGAGTGCCTGCACTCGGAAAAATTACTTGAATTATTTGTGAGATATAAAATTCGTATCTATGAAATAAAATCCATTTCTCTGTAAACAAACTTTGCAAATCCCACAAGTAAATTTTCAAGTATCTCTTTTCTCTCAGTGTATGAGACTAACTTTTAAATATTAAAATCGTACTACAGTAACGGACATATACTTACGTACAGTAAGTAAAATTAGATTTTATTCATTGTGTACTTATACATGAAATAGTTAAACAAAAATCCATTACGTTTTTTACAAGTTTATAGCATATATTATGGAATAGCGAAACAGTGTTTATCAATTTACTATAACTAAGAAGTTTCTTGTGTTTGTTTACTCAAGTTTATTCAAGTCAAATTTGATGCGGACACGTACTTACGTACACTGTGGTAATACACAGATAGGTCAAGATTTTTGCAATGTACACAATACTTATCAGTATCTACCGAGTAATGTACGTAGAGAGACGTATTGTAACAGTACTGTGATGAGCAAACGAAAGAATATAACGCCAGAACAACGTCGGCAAATTCAGCAGCTTCGCAAAAATGGGAAGTCTTATCGGAAGATTTCTATAGAGCTTGGGATATCTGTTATGACTTATTATCAAGCTATGCAACATATTAAACATCATGGAACGACAGATAACGTTCCTCGTAAAGCGAGATCACGAAAAACCGACATAAGAACTGACCGTAAGATTCATCGATTATCTGAATTAGACAGATTTAAAACTGCAGTTGATGTTCACACTGAAATATCATCAGATCTTGATAAAAATATAAGTGTTAGAACTGTCCGACGTAGATTAAATGAATTTTAATTACATGAACGCGTTGCTAGAAAGAAACCATTCATATCAGAAAAGAATCGCCGAGCTAGAATCGCTTTTGCAAACGAACACTTAAACTGGACGCAACAACAATGGTCTAGAGTTATTTTTACTGATAAATCTAAGTTTAATCGATTTGGATCTGATGACAAAGTATATGTAAGACGTCGCATGGGTGAAGAATATCGCAAGAATTGTATAAAACCAACTGTAAAAGGGGGTGATGGGTCAGTACTCGTATGGGGTTCTATGACTATTAATAGTACAGATCCTATTCACCGAATAAAAGGAATCATGGACAGATTTACGTACTTGAATATTGTGGAAAATGTACTGCTTCCATTTGCTGAAGAATATATGCCGGAAGAATGGATCTATCAAGCAGATAATGACCCAAAACATACCGCACACGTCGTCAAAACATTTTTAAATGACCGTAACATCAACGTAATGAAATGGCCAGCACAATCTCCGGATCTGAATCCAATAGAAATGTTATGGATCGATGTGGACAAATAAGTAAAACAGAGGAAGCCGAAAAATATTGAGGAACTGTACGCTACGATAGAAGAAGCTTGGAATTCCATATCTGTTAATCGGTGCAATCGGCTTATTGAATCTATGCCACGAAGATGTGCCGCAGTTCTTAGGAACAAAGATCTAGCTACCAAATATTAACATATTATAGTAATAAGCCAAAGAAACTTGTTAAAATATTCGTGTTCTTATATGTACGTAAGTACGTGTCCGCAGCAAATTTCACACTTGAGTAAACAAACACAAGAAACTTCTTAATTATAGTAAATTGATAAACACTGTTTTGCTATTTCATAATATATGCTATAAACTTGTAAAAAACATAATGGATTTTTGTTTAACTATTTCATATATAAATACACAACGCATAAAATCTAATTTTGCTAACTATATGTAAGTATATGTTCGCCACTGTATATATAACAGTTGCTTGGAAAAGTATTTGTAAATTTATTTGTGAGACATAAAATTCGTTTCTGTAAAATAAAATTAATTTTTGTATACAAACTTTATATCCCACAATTTTCCAGCAATTCTTTTTTCTCAGTGTATGAGATTAACGCGTTTAAATATTAAAATCGCTTAAAATCGTTTAAATATTAAATATTAATATCAAGAGTTGCTTAGAAATATTTGAAGATTTATTTGTAAGATATTAAATTTATTTCAATGAAATAAAATCCATTTCTGTGAACAAACTTTATGTCAGAAGTAAATTTTCAAATATTTCTTTTCTTTCAGTGTATAAAACTAACGTGTTTAAATATTAGAGTCGCAGCAAGAGTCATTCGGAAAAGTTGTTCCAAATCATTAAGTCCCCTGTATGTTGCAAATTGGACGGAAAATCCGTCATTAAGATTGAGCTTGCGCGAATTTCTCAGCTGCAAGGTAGCTTAGTCAAGCCAATCATACGAAAAATGAGCGAAATCATGAGAACGCAACACATAAAGTAAGATATGATACGATGGTTGCGATTGCATTCGCAAGCTTCTACTTTTTTTAAGTCTTGACATTCTTATCGCAAAATGCATGCACTTGTTAACGCGGCGCGACGTGCAGCAATTGTGTTATCTACTTCAGACATCTCGCATTCTATTCTTTTTCCGTTCATATTCGCTTCAGTTGACTTAAAGACGAAACGTCTCGTTCCTTCGATCAAATGTGTTGACAACACGTATTTGCACTATTCAATGATCCTATATTTCGACGCATTACTTTGTTAAATATTGGCAATTATCGCAAATCGATTCATGCCTTAATTTTCATTACGACAGGCGTTACAAGCAAACTCGAGCATTTCGTGGAATCTGGAGTAGGGGCGATATGGCTGTCGCCCATTAATCGAAGTCCCATGGTCGACTTTGGATACGATATCTCAGATTTCAAAGACATCGACGGAATATTCGGTACAATAGAAGACTTCAAGGATCTCGTGGCACGCGCGAAGAAGCTCGGGCTGAAGGTAGTCGAGAATAAGACGCGTCCGTTCAAAAAGACTTCACTTGTCAGCCGCGCGTTTTCCACCGGCAATGTCACCTCATCCCCCGTTGATATTTAATCAATGTTCGCGCGCGATTTCCAGGTTATTCTCGACCTTGTGCCTAATCACACTTCCGATGAGCATTATTGGTTCAACCAGAGCGTGCATCGTGTCGGCAAGTACGCTGATTACTACGTATGGGCCGATGGGAGAAATAACAACAAGGATCCACCGAACAATTGGCTGAGCGTGTTCAGCGGCCCGGCCTGGACATTCAACGAGACCCGGAAGCAATGGTACTTTCATCAGTTCGAGCGCAGACAACCGGATTTGAATTACAGCAATCCCAATGTGCAAGAGGAAATGCAGGTATGATTGCATTTTACGGAGGAACACGCTTATATCTCGGCATCTATCCGTTCTCCAGATTTCTTGACGCGAAATTTCACTCGGAAAGTAGAGTGATCGTCGAGTCACTCGAACTCGAGTGACTTCTTCCACTCATACAGAGCGAATGTTCCGCTCTTAATCGTCGAGTGAATATTGTCGCTCGAGATTGAGGAGTTAATCCGATGCACTCCCCCGTCAGAGAAACATATTCAAACGATTGGAACATTCGCTTGTACGGAGTTAGAATTCATTCTGAGCTTGAATAAAATATTCAAGTCTTGTAATTTCGAGCGGTAATATTTCCACTGTCGCTTCGAATGAAAAGTACTGCCATCTCTCACTCGTCTTGAATACGAGATTCCATTCCAAGACATTTGTAGAGAGTATTATCTTCTTCTCGATAGGAGCTGAGAAAAATGTTTCTTCTCTGCAATGCGTGGGTGCGCGTGGACGTGCAGCTTTGAGAATATTATTACGTACGATTCGCTTTTACGTCATATAGGAAGTTATCGAGTACTGGTTGCGAAAAGGCGTGGACGGATTCCGCGTGGATGCGGTGCCTCATCTATTCGAGACGAATTACACGTCGGACGAGCCCGAGAGCAAAGCACCGGATGTCACGAAGGACGATTACGGTTATCTGAATCATACGCTAACGAAGGATCAACCGCAAACCTACGAATTGGTGCGAAGTTGGAGGAAGATCTTGGACGATTACGCTAATCGAACTAATACGGATGAGAAGGTGCGATTATGCTCTCTCTCTCTCTCTCTCTCTCTCTAATTTTTGGAATATCAAAATTAACTCAATATATAATTAGTATTAACTCATATTGTTCCTCGATATCGCGTTGCTTTTGACAGATTAATAACGTGTTTATTCTATTTTTGCACAAGGTGATGATGACCGAGGCGTACACCTCGTTGGAAAATACCATCAAATATTACAATTACGGTTCCCACATCCCCTTCAATTTTAACTTTATCATGAACGTTAACGCCAACTCCAATGCCGCGGAATTTAAAAATATAATAGACGAGTGGATGAAGGCGAAACCCAAGGATGGCGTAGCTAACTGGGTGGTAAGGGAACGTTATTTTAACGTGACTCAATCTTTACGATAAAATACGCAATGATAGATATCAAACTTGCAAACTTGGCGACTGTCCAGCCGGAGCGAGCGCATTGTTGAATCTCTTTTTGATAGTGCAGAACGGTTCCGGAAAGAGAGCTATATCAATGCGCAATGCCACGAATGAAACTTCAGTGTTTGAGTTTATACAGGCATTCCCGTAAATTTTTGTACCATCGAATAATTCACAATAACAACCGCCGAGTGTGATTTACCGCTAAGTGAACGTTAAGTATAATTCATGAATGTAGTTCCGCACGCGCGCACGTTTTAATAATCGTACGAGTGGCATTTCGCAAAAATCCGGTGATTCGCTCAACGACGTGGTAATCAATGTTAATGCGTTACAACGCGGCTGTCGGCTTTTAACGACTGCTATTGCGGAAAATCGATACAATCGCGAGTTAATTGGGACACTCAGGCGCGACGAATGCGCTAAAGCGCAGATATTTACGCGCTGATCAAAATATCCGCAGATGGGAAATCACGATCGCAATCGTACCGCCACGCGTTATCCCGGAAGACCCGATCAGATGACGATGTTGGCCATGACGTTGCCAGGCGTGGCGGTTACGTATTACGGTGAGGAAATTGGCATGGTTGACAAGAGCGACATAAGCTGGGAGGATACACAGGATCCCCAGGCTTGCAACGCGGGCAAAGAGAAATACAGAAGTCGATCTCGCGATCCCGTTCGCACGCCGTTCCAGTGGAACTCGGGGCTTCACGCAGGTACGCGACAACGAATCGTGCAAATTCGCGATTATTGCACTGTGAAAACTGATGTGTTAAATTTAACACATTTCATGTGTCCCAAATCATCCACTCTCACTTATATGTAAATTTAACGCAAAACAAATGTGTTAAAAAGTAACACGCATAATATGGAAAAAAATAATACAAGAATTTAACACTTGAATACCGTTAGGAATCACAGGTTGTGTTAAATTGACATATTTAATATGTCAAAGATAAATTATGTCAATTTAACATTTTCATTTCATCAAAACCATAGATTAATACTTCTCTCAAATGTTAAAGTAACGTTTTATTTTAGTTAATTTAACATTACACATATGTCAACTTAACACAAACTGTGATTTCTGACGATATTCAAGTATTAAATTCTTGTGTTAATTTTTTACATATTATACTTTTTACCATATTTGTTTTGTGTTAAATTTACACATAAATGAGAATGGATGATTTAGGACACATAAAATGTTAAATTTAACACATCAGTTTTTACAGTGTGGCGATTCGCTCTTGCTATAAAACTGTGCTTGGCTCTCTACACGGGAAGAATTGTACGTAGAGTAGGGAAGACCGGGGCTATATGGCTCCAGGGATATGTTGCTCATGTGCTTTTTTAGTACCTATACTGAGAAAAATTTAACTTAAAAATTTAATTTAATTTAATTTAAAAATTAACAAATATTTATTAGGTGAGTACAACTGGTATATTTACGTAAGTAAAAATTCTCTTCACTTAAATTATTGCTTGCTTAAACCGAATAAAATGTTTAAAACTGTGGAATCACTCCGTGACCTATCTAATGCTTCTCTCATTGACTCGCGATAGGTTTCAGTAACACCAAGAATAAAACCTGGCTGCCGATCCACGAAAATTATCGCACTGTAAATTTGCACGCTCAAAAGAGCGCCAATGAGTCGCACTACAAGGTTTATCGTGCTCTGACGAAGTTGCGCGAAACATCCGACGCGCTCAAGTCCGGATCAGTGACTACCCAAGTGTTGAACAGCACCGTTCTGCTCGTCCTGCGGAAGACGCAAAAGGAAGCCGCGACTTTACTGATAAATTTCTCAATTCAAAACAAGTGGGAAGGTGATCTGACGGGAGTCCTCACGGGATTCGAAGGCGGTGTGGTTAAAGTAGCGAGCGTGGATTCCAAGATACGGGAAAAGTAAGTTGTGAGGATTTCAAGATTCACTGATAAATTAGGATCATTGGTATACGCGCTGATTAGATGTGATTCCGAACACATCGACATACGTGGTCCGTTCTTTTCAGCTGCACTGTTGCGTCGGTGCAATAAGTTAAAGTGAGACAAAATATATTTGTCTCTGATTGCGCCAGTGCAGCGGCGCAGCTGGAAAGAATGGACCTATGGCTCATGAAATTTTGCTGCTGCATAGTACGGCACTCGCGACGCAAATGTCAACGGGCGGAACATGTCGAAAGAGGTCTCAGTGAAACTCGACAAACGAGTCCCTGTTTGGCGACGCTCATTCGATTCCGGCGCATACAAACCGCAACGGCGTAGTCGTGAAAAGATCTAATCTCCTACTCTCCTGCGTCTTTCAGTCAAATTGTCGACCTGAAGAAAGTTAATCTCCCGGCGAGAGCCTCGATGCTCTTCCTCTCTGATGGCAAGTAAACCAATTCTAAGCGAAGCAACGGCGAGGTTTCAGCGTATGTGACTGAGCTTCGGACGATCCCGCCGCCAGCGTTTTTTCCGACAATATAATGTGTTGTACATGTGATCGGAGCGACAAAAATAAATAATCAATGAAGGACTCGCTCTCGCTGTAATCGCACGTTGTACACGGATGAGAATACAGTATTTTAATTACGAGAGAGAGAGAGAGGAAGCTGTCTCTCGCGCTCCAATTTATTATACATTATATTATTATTAACGAGAGGTTGATAACAAGGGGTTATGGTGTTAGCATTGCGTCTTTACATAGCACGCGCTGCAACAAACGCTCAATTCAGAAATGCGTTTCGAGCTCCGGCGCGCGCGCGTCGTGTCATAAATGTCACCGTGGCGCGATAATTGTCTTTCTAACGCGCAACGGAAATGTCAAAAGTCCCACTCCATCCTGTGCGCCCTTTTGGATTTATCACGGGCCGATCATAGGTTTCCGTCACTCTTCTACCTCGCTCGGGAGAGAGCATTCCTTCTCGGTCTCAGGGCTTTATCTTGCCTCGGCGACGCGAACCGATAATAATTCTTTGTACGAGTGGCGTGACGGGAGAACCAATTTTCGTATCTAATCCCCCGTGATGGGAAAAGCATCTGCGTGCGCGGGAATCTTCGTGAGATTGCCGACAGGATCAAACAGAGCCCGGCGCGGTAGTCCGTCAGGACGCGCACATCTCACCCATCGAGATCGCATTTTATTCACCCCTGCCACGCTCGCGCGTTTTCCTTTTCACATCCACGGAAATGTCCCGCCGCATCTGATCAGACGACGATCTTGGAGGGGATATCTCGGAGAGATCGCACTTTTGCCGTTCTTTAAGAGCGAACGATCAAGACAATCGAAATCGTTCAGGCCGAGCTCGCTCTCCACGCAAATGAACGAATCAACAATCATGAGCGACGTATTTCTCTGCGGAAAACAAATTAACGCGTTACGAGCAGAAAACAGGGAGAAAACAGCAGCATGGATTTTTTTAAATGTTAACAATAAAGATATTCTCCAAACAAAAATATTCTTTTTTTCTGTGTACCAATACACAAAGTACCAAAGATACAATTTTTTTACTTTCATTTGATTAAATACAAGTATCAATATAAGTGTAGTTTTAGCAAAAAGAAAATTAAAAGTTTAATTAAAAAGATTTACGTTTGACGCCAAGGAGATAGAACCAAGACATTGATATATCTCGCTAGGATTTTTGGGAGAGCCCGACGGATATTTGTCCCAGCGGTAATAAGTAGAGTGACAGCTAATGTGTGTTCTGAATGCCCAAAACAGAAGTTTATTCAATTGAACGAAGTTATTATTAACGGCGGGGAAAACACGTGCGTCCCGTCGGTAGCGGAAAAGTTCAACGCGACTGTGGAAATTTTTAACAACGCGTCGCGGCTTTCGACGAGGATTTTTTAAAAAATTGTTCGGTTTTTTTGTGTTACGTGTCGATTACCGCACGAGATTATATACACGTTATGCATTCCATCTGTCCATCTCCGCTTTCGTCCATCTCGATATTAAAATTCTTGTGGCCGGCTTTACGCGTAATAACCGTTTGTGCCGTTGACGCGCACGCTCACGCCGTTCGAAAAACCGTCGCGAATGTCATCAAATCATAACGGTACCTCGAGAGAACATAAAATGTTTGTGCGGGATAAAATCCAAACTCGCACGAGATCCGCTCGCAGAGAGAGGAGAGAGGAGAGAGAGAAGAGAAAGAGAGAGGGAGAGAGAGAAAGAGAGAGAGAGAGAGAGGGGAAGAGGACGAGAGAAGATATTGCGAAAGAGGATACTGCGAAAAAGTTACTATAAAAAATAGTATGACGCGATCATTACGAGCTCGTGGAGGAATATTTTTAAGCGACTTCAAAAAAGAAAGATCTTCAATCCGACCCGTATATTTGTATATATATATATATATATACGCGGAAAAAGAATTTCAATCCAGATAAATAAACGAGGATCAGACAAACAACTCGCTATGACGAGAAAGTATATTTCTGTGACTGTGGTCGAAAAGATTTGTCTGAACATTCAGCTGAATTAAAACTCGGTTGAGATAACTGAGAGCAATTCGCTGAGTCAAAATTCCCTCCTACGGAAATCTTTATGTTTCTACAATAAAGTTGTTCATTTGTGTCCCAACTAACGGAAAATTCAGTCATACTGACAGAGTTGTTTTTTTCGCGTAGTGTCGTGTATGCAATATCATTTCCTAGACCGAGAGTCACACAATGAGCTTCTACCTTACACGTAACGCATACTAATTGAAAGTCGCATAAACAATTGTAGTAATAACGAGGTTGTAATGGTTTCGACTTTATGTGTTAAGCAGCGAGCACAAAGTTCTGCATAACGCATAATGCATAATGAAGGAAATGAAGGATTCTCATTGATTCATTTCATTATGCATAATGCGTTATGCAAAAGTCTGTGTGCTCCTCGCTTTACATTAAAAATCATGTATTTCTCGATCCAGACAGCATAGATGACGCCGGCTGTGTGTCTGCGATTACCTCGAGAATCACTGGACCGATCTTCATGAAACTTTCAGCAAATGAATCTAGACATTTAGGAGGAGTTTCAGGCGAACATGGATCAGAGATTCTCAACTTCCAGCTCGCTAACAAATACCGGTTCGCTAATATTTCTTGCAGTGAATGATGAATAAAAACTTTTCAAAAAAATAAACCGCCTTAAAAAATCTGAATAGCTGGTTGGAAGGATTGGATAACTATAATATTTATCCCTTTCAGCTCCAGTTTTAATGTTTTAGAAAGTTTTTATATTTATTATTATTCATTTTATTTAAAGTTACATATATATATATATATGTAATTTTTAATAAAATGTGTAATAATAAGTATAAAAACTTTTTAAAAAAATTAAAAACGACTTTATATATATATATATATATATATATATATATATATATATATATACCCATATACACACACATATACACACACATATACACACACATATATAAAGTCGGTTTTAATTTTTTTTTACTTATATATATATATATATATATGTCTATAATTATTATTAGTGTAGTTTCAAGACATTACGTAAGTATAGAAAGCTCCGTCCTTTTCAGCGCGAGGGACGTCATCTTCAGCTAGAAATTCGCGAAATTCGCAACAGCTGAGAACATAATCGCGATCAGCATGGACAATAAACGGACGCTTATCGGACGGAGTCGTCGCCCCGTCGTGGCGTCCGTTCGCAGCGCCGCACTTTCAGAGCATGAATTATGCATTTCGCCGGGAACATCGATATTACTCTCGAGCACAGAAGACGTTCGAACTGCACTATTCGAATAGGAAAATGATTTATTATCCCGGTTCTGCCTGGCATAACTTACGAACTTCCGCCGTGACCGAGGTGATCGCCATCGGGCCGGCAGGTACCTGACAAATAGCTGATAAATCTGTAGAATAATTCCTCTACCGCCCGTATTCCTATTTTTATACGCGTCACATCGATGTGTTGGTAAAGTTCTTCTTTGTTCGCTCGATATCAGCGGCAAAGCCCTTCACGACGTTGTGTCGCGATATAACGAGGGATGTAAATAGCTTTAAAGAGAACTACACGAACCAGCGCTATCTTCTCTCGGAGTAAAGACGCATATATAAAGATAAATGTAAAAAAAAGAAATTGATATTAATTCCTGCTCGAGAGAATGATAAATATAAATTATAAATACACTGAGAAGAAATGAGAAATATTTATTCGATGGCTGCTAATAACATATTTATTTGTACTAACATATATATTTTTACATTAAAAAAAAATTTTTTTTAATATGAAGATATATACTTTCCTAAAATCGTAACACTTTTCATAAAAGCAATTGTTTATCTCATTTAAACAAAAAATTTAGATTTAAGTAGATTTGTTATTAATATTCCCCGAATATAAATATTATTTATTATATATATATATATATCCCTCTCTGAAAAAAAAAAATATATAATATTATATATATTTATTAATATCTCTTTAGAAAATAAATTTATTTTCCAAATATTTTTTCTCTCAGTGCATAAGTAAATAATATATAAAAATTAATACATGTTTCAGAGAATCGTATCTTCTCAACGCAGATCCGAGAATATTGTCATGTAGCCTTTTGCATTCCCAACTAGATTTTTCCAATGACTTATCTTAAGAGACATATTCTAATGACGAATTTTAGAAGAATAAAAGCGTCTTGAGTCTTCCGACGATGCTGCGAACGGTTTGCATAATAAGTACCACACAAAAGGGAAAAACGGAATTCCCTTAAACCAATAAGTTCGTTAAGCGTTAAAGACGTATTGCCTTTGCAGATCTTTCGGATCTGTATTCGTACGCGTTTCTGTATTTCCGAGCGAGGTATTGCTTCAAAAGCCAAATTCCCGCGTCGCCGTCGCAATAAATCATCCGCCTCGTCGGAGAACGCGATTCAGCTCGTTTAATCATCCAAAAGTCGTTGTAGTTCATCGGGGGCGACTCGTATCGACGAACTCTTTTTACACGCTGGTCTGACTTTCCGTGCGCGGTCGTGTTACTCAATTTTAATTTCATCCTCCAGGTATACACACACACACACATAAACGCCCTACCTACCATTCCTAGGTTGAAAGTTGTGTAAAGAGAACTTTATGCCAGTATTTTGTTGATAAAGTTTTCAAGTATGACATTCTTTTAAAAAGAACAACTCCTCAAAAGTTTCGATATCGCGCTTTAGAAACCTTGAATTTCCTTTGCTCAAATATCCCTTTGAGCATTGTTCGCCACAAATAAATTCGCGACAACAGAAATTTATTTCGCACTGCGAACACGTAATTTATATTATATGAAAAGCGATATCGTTGGTTTTATATTTCTTAGATAATGCGACATTATTCCCGATGAATAAAAAAATACCGTCGAACGGTGAAATTCTTGGAGTTTATTCACCAGTGTGTATTTTCAGAGAAAATACCAAAAGACGTATTTTCAGTGGCGTATCAAGGGAACTATTTATGAATTCACTATTGTTGTGCAGCGTCCGCGTAGCTGTTTATCGTGATTCAATTACACATCCGCGTTCTTGCAGATAAATGGGAGGATTTGAGGTAGAAAAGAAGTTAACTATTTAATTAAGCTCTGCTAAAAACCGTTTGCTAAAT